CCGACGACCACAGCACTACACTGTGTGGAGACTTATACTGACACAACAGGTCGACGACCACAGCACTACACTGTGTGAGACTTATACTGACACAGCAGGTCGACGACCACAGCACTACACTGTGTGAGACATGCTGACGCAACAGGTCACGACGACCACAACACTGTGTGAAACATGCTGACACAGCAGGTCGACGACCACACTGGGCATGCACTAATACTGATACAATTTGAATTTAAATACTGTGAAGTTGTTGGCTTTGAACACTCGTTGACAAAGGAACAAAAACTTGTCCATCAAGAAATAGTGTGAACCAGCAGTGACAAAGTATTTTTTCCGGGAACAGGGAGAATAGGGGAGGGTGGGGAGTGGTGGAGGGGGAAGGGTGCGGGGGGGGAGCAATAACCTAAATATTTAACTAAAATAATCACTATATTCCAGCAGGGCGCCTTAACAGGACGTAGCTGGGTGACGGTCTTAGAACACTCGTGAGTTTCTAAAACAGTTTCTGAACGAATTATTCTTCCGGAAACATTAGATCAGTTTAGAGAGTTGTGTTTATCTTGTATAAGGGTTGTATTTTATATTTAGAAAAAAGTTTACACATTATCTCAGCCGCAGCTCTACAACTCAACCCTCCCATAGACTTAACCCTGTCATTATCTCCTGCGGGATGAAGGACGTGACTCTGGTGGCACAGGGCAGGGCAGGGCAGGGCAGGGCAGGGCAGGGCAGGGCAGGGCAGGGGGCACAGTTAAACTATCATGTGTGCATATTGTATCCATAAACTTTTAATTAAAATAGATAAAAAAATAATCTGGTAATTGAAAACTTTAATACACTGCTAAATTTTATGTAATGAAGTGCATTACGACACAATAAATGACATAAAAAATTAAATTACGTAATTGCAAGAAACAATGACTTCCCTTTAGAAATTGATTCCAAGTTCCACGATTCTCCGTCCTCAGCCATATTTTGTATAGTTTCGACAACATCTATATAAAGTTCGCCAAATACCTCTGAAGCATCATGGTCTAGTTACCCAAAGAGTTTTATATATTTCAACTATCTTTTGTCTGGAACTGTAAGGGAACATAATGACTACTGTATGTTGTCTTCACTGGTGTTTGACTGAATACTTAAAACAACCTGGCATGCACAACTGAGTCCTGTTACCCCTGCAGTCCTACCCCGCCACACCTGCAGTCCTGTCCTACCCCGCCACACCTGCAGTCCTGTCCTGCACACCTCGCAGTCCTGCAGTCCTACCTCATACCTCCAGTCCTGCAGTCCTACCCGCCACACCTGCCACACCTGCAGTCCCACCCCCCCACCCCTCCACACCTGCAGTCCCACCCCGCCACACCTGCAGTCCCACCCCGCCACACCTGCAGTTCCTCAATGGTATATTTGTGTTCAGGATAGACAGTAAATTATTGTATAAAATAATACTGTCAGGCACCTGTATACGGGCCCATGTCTCAGGGTTACAAGGGCACATTTACAAGCGTCTAGGCCGGGGTGAGGTGGGGGGGGGTTACGTGGCCATGGACCTGACCTGGTTATCAACAGATTCGTCGACCATCAGTACTGTATGTTACTTCAAGTGGTACTATAGGCTCACTAGGGCCCAGGCTAAACTAATTTAATCATTAAGGTTAGGGTCCATTATAATTGAGACCCATTAGACCTGGATTCCATTAGGGCCACAACCACCACTACTGCCATCTGAAGAAAACTCTCCTGCCTCACTTGCGTCGTGACTCTAGGGAGAAGTGGAGAAGCAGAGGCAAGAATAGGAAGAGGGAAATGAGGTGGAAGATATGAGAGAGACAGAGAATAAAGAGAGGAGAAGAAGGAAAAGAGATTAAAAGGAAGGGGGAATTAGAAGTATGAAAGTAGGAAAGAGAACGGATGAGAGAAGAAGATGGGGACAGGGAAGGGAGGAGAGACGGGAAAGCAGGGGGAGGAAAACGAATAGGAAAAACATGAAGGTCCCTCAGCGACGGGAGTCAGTATAATGAGACCATGGAGACAGAGGAGGAGGAGGAGGAGGAGGCGGAGAAGAAGGAGGTGAGAGAGATGGAAAGAGGGAGGAGGTGGAGGAATAGAAGGAGAAGGAGTAGAAGGAAAAGATGAAAGAATTGATTGATTAGGAGCAGGAGGTTGAAAGAAGGAGGGGAGGATGAATAAGAGCAAACGGAAGATCAGAAGGAGGAAGGGGGGGGTAGGAGGAGGAGGAGAGGGGAAAGAAGACAAGAAAAAAATGGATAATGAGAGAGAAATGGTGAGGAAGGAAATGAAAAGTGAGATGAAGAGAGGAAAAATGAGATAGACAGAGAGCAGGAGGGGGAAGAAGAGCAGGAGAAGGAGGAGGAAGAGGAGGAGGAGGAGGAGGAGGAGGAAGAGGACAAAGATAAGAATGAAAAGGAGGAGGAGAAAGACGAGAAGGAGGATGTAGAAGAAAAAAGGAGGAGGCGGAGGAGGAGGAGGAGTGATGGGCCTGGTTGGTGAGAGTGTGAGGGAAAAAGGTGAAAGGATCATAGATAAGGAAGAGGGAGACAGAGGGAGACGAAACGATAGGAGAAAGACAATACCTGCCAAGGAAAGTGGAAGAGCAAAAAACGACAGAAGAAAAAGAAATTGTGACAAAAGAAAGACGATGAAAAAGCAAAGAGAACAGAAACCATGGACAATAAGAGAACGTGGAAAAGGAGATTGAAAAACAACTAAAAATGAGTAAATAAATTGATAATATATGTGTGTGTGTGTGTGTGTGTGTGTGTGTGTGTTGAAAATATCATATTAAGGAGTCTGCATAGATTTCTCAAGAGAATATGTGAGATATGTCAAGGATAACAACGCGTCACCTTTACTCATTGAAAAATACAAGTTTTATTTAGGGCAAAACTAACTTTCTTCCATCAGGCGAGTCTTAACCTTATTACTTGCACTATTAATAGAATAATTAACTAGAATGAATTGTTTCTTATTCAATCAGGTGGTCTAATGGCTACCTGGCTGATCAGAACATATTGTGGGATTCTTTAACCTGTAGTGTGATGGAAATAAGCAGACGGGTGAGACAGGGATTTGATAATTTCGAGCTTCCATGGACGTACAATGGAGGAAGTGTTCTGTTTTATGTCTGGGAGTGTGTTTATCTTAGTGAATGGAGCCATGATGGAGGGAATCAGAGGAGGAGGAAGAGGGTAATATATACGCTGAGGAATGTATAAAGTGAGAGAAGTGAGAGAAATAAAACAAATAAGTAGAAGATTGGCAGCTGATGAGGACTCGTAGTATTGATTCTGGATGTGAAGGGAAGAAATATATAAGAAACAAAACGAAGGGCCTGTATGATAAAGAGGTAAATAGGGAGGAAGAGAATAAGAATAAACCCAGGAATTATGTTGTGTGGAAAAGAAAGAAAAGTGTAGGACAAAGAGGTTACCAGGGTTTGTTATGGTGGCATAGGGAAGTAAAATATTAGTAAGAAGAGTGTGTGTGTGTAGCTCAGAGGTTGAGGTAAAGGGGAGAAAAGATGACCAAGAAAGAGGTGGAAGGAAGAACTATAAGTGAGAGGGACGGAGCAGCGGTATAAATGAATAACTGGGGAGTCAGAGTGATGTACTGCACAATGACGCCAGCCGTGTGAGTGATCGACTGACACCAAATGAAGGGAATTTGTGTTTTTTCATAACTCTGACTAACCTATGATAAAGCGAGAGAGAGCTGGTGAGTGAAAAGTGTGTGTGTGTGTGTGTGTGTGTGTGTGTGTGTGTGTGTGTGTGTGTGTGTGTGTGTGTGTGTGTGTGTGTGTGTGTGTACAGTAAAACAACCTATGGAGTATTATAACGAAATTGAACCTTTTCTGACAGTAACACCCGCTGGACCCACACATAAGCGTGTACTGTACAAGGACCTATTTATTACAACATGATGACCCCGAAATAACACATACGTCCACTACGCTCTGTAAGTTGTCATTAGATATACTGTTTGTCAATTTTGTAGATATTCCTCTATATTTTCCTCTATATTAAAGTCGTATAAGCGCTTCCCTTTCAGCTCTGTTGGTCCAGCCGGAAATTTGCCACATATGTGAATCATATTCTCCCACACATCTGACTCGCGCGTGTGAGTGAGTATGAGGCAGCAGGTGAACAAGACGGTGGTGGTCACGTCGCCCAACAGCCAGTCACCGTCGCCTCCCTCTCCTCACTTTCCTGGATTATTATTATAATTTTTTTAACCAAATCAAAGGGTTGAGTGATGATGTGGCTTCCTCCGCGACAAGTGAGCTTATAAAAAGAGAGACGGATCTTCCTTTATAACAACACTTACTATACTGAATCATATAGACTGGTTTATTACCTTATATTAGTGGTGTGGATAAGGAGGCCTGGTGATATTGCCTACACCATGCTTTAAAAATAGTGCCATCTGGGTGTAGGTGGTGGTGGTGTTGTGGGTGGGGGTGGTGGTGTTGGTGGAGGTGTTCTGGGTGTGGGTGGTGGTAGTGGTGTGGGTGGTGGTGGTGGTCATCTCCCTTACATCATAAAGAAAATGCCACACTTCAAACACCACACACAGTGACGTACCTTCCACGCCACACAGTAAGTGGAACATCGTCTATAGCGCAGGTGTGTGGTAATAGTAACACCTACTCTTGATGAGACATGTGTGTTAATGACTTAGGTGTGTGTTAATGAGGCAGGTGTGTTAATGAGGCACGTATGTTTTGATGACGTTAGTGTGTGTTAATGACGTAGGTGTGTGTTAATGACGTAGGTGTGTGTTAATGAGGCAGGTATGTTTTGATGACGTAAGTGTGTGCAATAGGTGTGTGTTAATGAGGCAGGTGTGTTAATGAGGCAGGTATGTTTTGATGACGTAAGTGTGTGTTAATGACGTAGGTGTGTGTTAATGACGTAGGTGTGTGTTAATGAGGCAGGTATGCGTTAATTAATATTGTATCACAGGTGCGGCGACGGAGTGCACCATGAGGGTGTGACCGGCGCCACACCCACCACAGTCACCATGAGAGTCTCCACCACACTGCTCGTCGTCTTCATTGGTAAGTGGTAATGTTTATGTCGAGAAAAATCTTATGGATAAATCTCGTCACATTAATTCTCGTGATGGCAGATAACTGAATGATTCTCGAGAAACCTAACCTAACCTAACTTAACCTAACCTAACCTTTAGAAAGAGACGTGATATTTGTCCGTGCAATTAGCCACGATAAAAATAGAAAAAATATTTAAGTAAATTTATAGTATACTTTAACTACTGTCAACAGATGATTAAGTGAAATTTAAGTGGTGTATGTATAATAAATATGTAAGTAAGAAAGAGTTATGTAGTCAATATATAAGTAAGTGATAGTTAAGTAGTGGGAAGTGGAGACGGACACTGAGAAGTAAAAACAGCATTTGGTAAAGCATCAGTCATCACAATGCTATTTGACAACACGCTCTCCAGGAAGACCTTCACATGAACTAAAGTCATTCTCAGTTGTCCCTATTACAGTACTTCTCAAAACACACACACACACACACACACACACACACACACACACACACACACACACACACACACACACACACACACACACACACACACACACACACACACGTAAGTTCTCGATGCAATTTTCCGTCTGCATTTAAAATTCCAGACAAAACTGCCATAGTAAGATTTATTACCGCCGAAGTCCTCCTCCTCTCTCTCTCTCTCTCTCTCTCTCTCTCTCTCTCTCTCTCTCTCTCTCTCTGTATCTCTCTCCTTCTCTTGCCCCCCTTTCTCGCTCTATCTCTCTCATTCTCTCTCCCTCGCATTCTCTATCTTCATCTCTATGTCTCTCTCCCGACTTTAAGAAAATAGGGCAGTTTTTCTTGACGTGCTATACAGCTGGTGATATACAGTATGTGGAAAGTGTGTTTTACTATTCAAGACACATTTTCTTTTAAAGTAAGTTTGCCTTGACGAATATTTTTTACCTGTGTGAGTAAAGTCTTGATGGATGAGAGTCCGCACAATACCTTTTCACTTCCCCGTGTTCAGGATGATGGCCATCAATCTTCAATTATGGAAGTCTTGTACGTGAAATATCTTCCTCCCGGGTCTAGATCTGTGTTTAGTCTTACTAGCATTACAACCTAGTACTAAGAGTTTCTAGTATTATAACCCAGTACTAGATCCTGTTAGCATTACAGCCCGGTACTAGGATTTGCTAGTACTACAACCAAACATTAGCGGTGTTGCTAGTATTAAAAGATGGTAGTATGTATGCATGACGATACGGCAATTTCTTGTGTTGTGTTAAGGTTTGTTAACAACATGTGTACTTACAAATCAGTCTACACATCGTGGGTGTGGGTGGTGGTGCTGGTCTGGGTGTGGGTGGTGGTGGTGGTGGTGGTCTGGGTGTGGGTGGTGGTGGTCTGGGTCTGGGTAAAGGTGGAGGTGGTCTGAGTGTGGGTGGTGGTGGTGGTGGTGGTGTGGTGGTGGTGGTGGTGGTGCAGGTGGTCTGGGTCTGGTTGGTGGTGGTGGTGGTCTGGGTGTGGGTGGTGGTGGTGGTGGTGGTCTGGGTGTGGGTGGTGGTGGTGGTGGTCTGGGTGTGGGTGGTGGTGGTGGAGGTGGTCTGGTCTGGGTAAAGGTGGTGGTGGTCTGGGTGTGGGTGGTGGTGGTGGTGGTGGTGGTGGTGGTCAGGTGTGGGTGGTGGTGGAGGTGGTCTGTGTGTGGGGTGATGGTGGTGATGGAGGTGGTCTGGTTGTGGGTGGTGGTGGTGCTGGAGATGGTCTGGGTGTGGGTGGTGGAGGTGGGGGTGTGGGTGGTGGTGGTGGTGGGTATGGGTGGTGGTCTGGTGTGGGGTGGTGGTGGAGGTGGTGGGTGGTGGTGGTGGTGGGTGGTGGTCTGGGTGTGGGTGATGGTGGTGGTGGAGGTGGTCTGGGTGTGAGTGGTGGTGGTGGTGGTGGTATGGGTGGTGGTTTGGGTGTGGTGGTGGTGCTGGGTGGTGCTGGGTGTGGGTGGTGGTGGTGCTGGGTGTGGGTGGTGGGGTGGTATGGGTGTGGGTGGTGGTATGGGTGGTGGTCTGGGTGTGGTGATGGTGGTGGTGGAGGTGGTGGGTGGTGGTATGGGGGTGTCTGGTGTGTGATGGTGGTGGTGGAGGTGGTCTGGGGTGTGAGTGGTGGTGGTGGTGGTGGTGGTATGGGTGGTGGTTTGGGTGTGGGTGTTGGTGGTGGTGGTATGGGTGGTGCTGGGTGTGGGTGGTGGTGGTGCTGGGTGTGGGTGGTGGTGGTGCTGGGTGTGGACGGTGGAGAGGCCTTTGATCACAAACCCTCCGAAAGTTTCCATGCACTTTAAACTTAGTAATCATCACTCTTATACACGGGGAAACACAATATGCTTCTTAACGGGATCTCTTCGTGAGGGAAGTGTGTCACACCTTAACTAGCGGAAGAAGATGCTGTGTACGTCAGTTGGATGGTACTGTGAGACCACCACACACACACACGCACACATATACGCATACGCACACATACACATACGCACACATACACATACGCACACATATACACTGACGCACACACGTATTCCAATGAAACATCAACACAGATAAAGTAAGATGACCCACATGGCGTGAGTCACAAATTAGAGGTGTAATAACAAGAAGCTGCTGATGCAAACACCATAAAGGAAATTGAAAACCTTTGTCTCCAGACCTGCCTCGTTCCTTATGGCGAAGTTAGAATTATTATATCTCCATTCTTATGATAACACGGTGGAAGAAGAATGACTTTCATAAGTAATGATTAAAAAAGATTTGCGATAATGGAGAATGTGTGGTGTAAGAATTGCTATGTTAAAAAATCACATTATGTACTAGAAAAATAAGACACGTAACGTATGATATACGCCTCTGTTGAACAGCACATCGGGGGTGTAATATCCTACCCAAGCACCCAATAGATCGTGTATGGACAAAACTAATGAGGAAAGTAACCTCGTGTGAGCTTTTGAGTTCACTCCGAGAAGATTGAGAATCCTTCCTTAATTCTGGAAGTTAATGTCACCTTGAATGGATAGTTTCAGGCAAATTAAATCTTTATCGGTGAGGGAAGTATGAATCCTTTTATCATCAACGATTATTTCAGTATTTCACTTAACATTTTTCTGGGCTAGAACCCACTTTGGAGATTATTAGAGCAAATTAGTTAAATTTATTCGAGCCAAGAATTAGGGGTTATCCCTCAATAGTTCCGAGGCCACACCGACTGAGCCCTCGTTTACGTATTAAATTTGCTTTATTATATTATCACTTTGTTTATTTACTAATGCAACAGTTGTCTCTCATGTGATATTGATTGTAATAAGTTTGTATGTAGGTAAGATAGTGGAACTAATGTCAGTAGGGTCATTTAGATAAAATTTACGCTTTGGCAAAATTCGGCTATGATACGTCAGTATTTGGCTGTACAGAGGTGACATCTGTGGCAGGCTGGTACATTGTAGACTGTAGTCAGTGACTCAGTCTGGGCACAGCTGTCTTTAGTTGAGTATACCTTCTCTCTGGTGTTTTGGGAGTTGCTATTTGACTATTGAGATTTGTTTTGCTTGATATTGATTTTGTGTGATCGTGTTGGACCTTCAGTCCTCACTCAGTCACTTCCAAACATCTTATTATTGTTATTTATTTCATTTTGTGTACATATGTGGTGCTGGGAATAAGTTATTAAATATTCATATATTTATTGACTTGTTTAGGTTATGATATTTTAACTTGACCTTTGTTGAGGGAACTTGGGATTAATAATATAATAAATAATACTGATATATTTGAAAGACTAAAGTGATTTGTGTTTATGTAACGATTTACCCTCGGGTCGTAACAGTGTAGCTGTGATACATGGTGGTGTAATAGTGCTGGTCATCATCACCTCCTTCAGGAGTATAACTTGGTCATCATCACCTCCCTCAGGAGTATAACTTGGTCATCATCACCTCCCTTGGTCATCATCACCTCCCTCAGGAGTATAACTTGGTCATCATCACCTCCCTCAGGAGTCATAACTTTATAAACATTGTGTGGTGGATGTAATCCTAGACAAGGTTCTTGAAACTCCAGGGCACGAGCAGTAGGTATATTCAATAAGTGGTACAAGGCTGGGCGTGATAGCCAACCGATACAGGAGCGATTACTAGGGACCCCGGACCGTAGGTAGGCCGAGGCCGATCTGAGGGAAATTAGCTAGCCAGGCAAGGGGAGTTGCTAGACATTCCTAGGACAATAAATGAGGTCTTCTAATTACTCGACTAGCGCGGTACAGACATAGTACATCGGGACATAGTAAATGAACATAGGCATTAGACATAAGCATGGACATCAGACATGCTATAATAATATGTAGTAATACAGACATGTGAATAAATGGTACAATGAATGGTAACAAGAGTCCTGGTGTCAGGCGTGTTCACATATCTTGGTATGTACATATCTATACACCTCCCTCCCCCTTTACGCTCGTAGTGCAATCTCGAGCGGCTACGGACTCTTTTTCCATGAGTCGGGGGGAGCGGCGAGGGACAATGGGAGGATCAACTGACGACCTTCGTTCCTGGTCTGGGCAAGGGGACACAGGGGACGGGGAGGAAGGTTCGTCACTAGAGGATGGCACTGGGCGGAGGTGGCGTCTGTTTCGCCACCACACACGACCACTGGGGAGGCGGACTTGGTACGAACGAGGCTCGCCACGGCCCATGACGACCCCAACCTTGTCCCAGCGGTGTGACGTCGGGTCCTGGATTCGTACTTGCTGGCCGACGGCCAACCTGGGAAGGGGGCGGGCTTGGGCGTCATAGTGGCTTGTCACTTGGGCCATCCGGGCAGCCTCACGGCGGTCACACTCGTCCGCCTTGATCTGCCATTCATCTAAGAAGGACTGGGGGTGGGCAGGCACACAAGTACGAAGGGGGCGGCCATACAACACCTGGGCAGGAGAGCGTCCGGCAGGGGTAGGGGTGTTACGGAGTTCCAGTAGGCCCCTGTCGAACTCCTCGCAGTCCAGGTTCCCC